TTCTAAATTTCTTTTCAGAGCTGTAACTATCAGAGGAGAACTTTGTAATTCCCCTTAGCCAAGGCTTCTGGTGTTAATTGTTTGTGATAAAACTATATTTTTCTTGTGTTTTCTGTTGTTGCACTTGTATTTTGGTCTGTGACCGCAAAATAAAAATTATTATTATTATAATTCTAACTCTAAAAGTAACACACAGGTTAAATAGAAAATGTCTGCATCCTCCGATCGATTGAAAGTCATGACAACCTGGATAACCAAGCTGACATTATAATATGGAATAAAATGGACTATATTGTTTATATGATACTGGAAGAAGGGGAAGAGAATTTTGATCAGATTGATTTGTTGATAAACATTAGTACTCAAATACTGAGATTTGATGACATAGATGCGACATTATGGAAACCAGCTTAGTATAGAAAAAAAGCCAGAGTTAGATTTTAAAATGTGATTTAAAATCTTAATTATTGGGTCAAAAAGGCTTCAGAAATTTGGACTGATTTGACAATCTAATTGAGTAAATGAAAGCAGTAAGATAATAACTGGTGTAATAATATATTTGTTTTAGATATGATAGTTAATTTGATTGAGAGTTAAATTTTACTTAACAGGCCGAAATGATTTTTGTGTGTGTGTGTTTTTTCTACTCTGTTTATATAGAAAACTATTTTATAATAGCAGAAGAATTAGAGAGATCTATGACAAGAGAAGAAAGGGTATTAATTAATGATGTATTAAATTAAGAGATGGAATATATGTGAAAATATTAGAATGTTATTCTTGGAATATTATGTGTGTTGTAGAAGGGATACCCCAAAATTTTATTAATATGTTTGTTTAAGATTAATTGGAATATTTTAATTGAAATGAGTGGAGCTTAAAAGCAGGAGTGATTTATGTAGATGTAATAGTAGGGATGCTTCCGTGGATTGATTGAATTTTAAGAAGAAATAGATTAAACTAAATTTGTTATATCATGTGAGGAAATAGAGGGGGGAATTTTTTTTTCTTTTTTTCAGGTATTAATTTTAGTTTTATATATATATGACTTGTTTTGCTATGATTGATCACCCTTTCACCACGGTGTTTTCCTGAGCACTTTGATGTTAAAATTAAAAAAACCAATAAAATGTGTATTAAAAAAAATGTCTGCATCCTCGTATATTGTCAAAGCAAGAACATCCGATGTAACATCTGTCGGAACCAGGACATCCAGCAGTTCCAAGAAAGTCCATTTGCACTCTTCAGGTGACCCTGAGGTCAGAGATAAACTTCCAAGCGGCCTCAACGACTCTCAGCGGGAGTACTAACGACCAGACGACTGCAAAGAAATATAAATCCTTCCATCCTCCACCGTTCAGTCAGAACTGAAAAAGCCACTTGGATGAGAAGGGAAACCTCTTCAAGGAAAAACCCAAGTCCCGTTGCCTTTTGAAAAATAAAAACACCTTTGGGATAAAGCATGAATGCGATTCTAATCTATATATATTGCCGGAGAATGAGGCAGGAAAGAGGTGATAATGGCTCCTGAAACTGTACTTCAGAAATATATACAGTAGAAAAACGCCGGGTTTTAAATGTCGTTGATATTAAAATAAAATAAAATCTCCGTACAGATTTTTTTTTAAAAAAAAATGCTGTTAAGAGAAATATTTTAGTTCCTTTTTTTTTCTGTCAGCGACGCGATCTTCCTACTTGAAAAGTCAACGCATCTGTTTTTCATCTGTGCATTTGTGTTTTTATTTTTGGGCGATTATTGACCGGTTCAAAGTCAGATCCTTGGTTCCAGATAGGTAGGCCTCATGGTACGTCACAACTGAGACCAGAATATTTAATAATAATAACAACAATAAAGTTGGAAGGGACCTTGGAGGTCATCTAGTCCAACCCCTACTCGGGCAGGAAACCCTAACCATTTCAGACAAAGGGCTGTCCAGTCTCTTCTTAAAAACCTCCAGTGTTGGGGCATTCACCGCTTCTGGAGGCAGGTTGTTCCACTGGTTAATTGTTCTCACTGTCAGGAAGTTTCTCCTTAGTTCTAGGTTTCTTCTCTCCTTGGTTAGTTTCCATCCGTTGCTTCTTGTCCTGCCTTCAGGCGCTTTGGAGAATAGCTTGACTCCCTCTTCTTTGGGGCAACCCCTGAGATACTGGAAAGCTGCTATCATGTCCCCCCCCTCGTTCTTCTCTTCATTAATAATAATAATAAAGTTGGAAGGGACCTTGGAGGTCATCTAGTCCAACCCCCTGCTCAGGCAGGAAACCCTATACCATTTCAGACAAATGGCTATCCAGTCTCTTCTTAAAAACTTCCAGTGTTGGAGAAGGGAGGGAGGAAGGAAGGAAGGAAGAACAACAGAATAACAGAGTTGGAAGGGACCTTGGAGGTCATCTAGTCCAACCCCCTGCTCAGGCGGGAGACCCTATACCATTTCAGACAAAGGGCTGTCCAGTCTCTTTTTAAAAACCTCCAGTGTTGGGGCATTCACCGCTTCTGGAGGCG